AGTGAGCCCACCTACGGTCCCTCTTACCAGTCAAGCCAGCAGAGCCGTGACCCTAATGGGACCTTCCACGGCTTCGACTCAATGGACAACTATGCCCCGTTCGATCAGCTTGTCAATTCGATGCCGCAAAATCAACTATCGAACAGCAATGCATTATCAGACAACGTTCTCGCCACGCCTGAGCAGGTGCGTGGCAAAAATGTCCAAGTAAACAAAATGCCCAACAGCCAAAGGTCAGAACAGAAAACGGGTCAAAAAAATCCGTGCTCATGTTCAGCGAGTTTGTATGGGAAGCCCTCCAATAACCCAAATCGCAATCCACCTCGTTAGGAAATTTACTCTCTAAACATTTTGTCCACATTCTGAGCATACTCTACGGAAGGGGATCCTGCAATTGAAAATATTTATGATTTAGTACTTGTTTTTAGACTGAAAAAAAAATGATCGAAATTTGAGTTAACAATAAAATGGAAGTGAAGTAAATACCAAACTGATGCTTAGCTAATAGTTGCCAATTGGAAGACATAAGAAAACGAGTGAGGAAATAATATGCGGTCGAAAAAGAGGTTTCAATAAGGCAGCTCAAATGAGAGCATAACTAATACCAAAAGCTTTGTTCCTAATTGAGCTTCCATTTCAATTCCTTCTCTGCATTCTGAAACTTCCCTTCTCGCATCTAGCTTCTCAGCTGGATGTTAACTTGAAATTGTCAATAACTTGGGCATATTGAGACAATTTCCGTGGCAAGCTGTGACACCTTGATAGATTGCCGGGGGGCTATCCTACGACATAAGACAATTGTGAACAAATGCAAAATTATTTGAAGCAATAGCTACAAAAAGGTAATAAAAACGAGAGTTGCAGTACAGCTTGAGAGTAAACGAAACATAAACAGGGAGTAAAGGGAAATAGGGGAAAAGTGAGTAAGAAAGCAAGAGAAAACATAATAAAATTGAAAACAAATAAGTTCAGGAACCAGGAAGCGCCAACGGAAGCGCCAACGCTCATTGTTAGCTTTTGTCGTTTGCCTGTTGTTGTCGTTCTCGTTGCTATACCCTGTAAACGAACACATATACTTAAGGGGTGGGTCACAGTAGAAAACGATATAAGTCCAACTGCCATGTTTTATTATGTATGTATATCGAATCTTGGTAGAATCTTAAAAAATAGAGTAGAGTATTAGAGTATTGCGGATGAGTATTGCGCAACGAATATTCCATAAGTTCTAAGGAATTGAAATCCCCGAATGGCGTGAAATCTGATTAGAATTTAGTATACTGCATGCAACTTTATCCCTCATCTGGGATATCTTACAGGCGAACATGCTCGGCTGGAGCAAGCTTGTTTTAACTGTTTGACTGGCAGGGTGAAGAAGAGAAGGGTAACACACACACACACACACACTTGGGCCCCGGGAGCGTTTCGAGTGTTGTGAGAGCTATTTAAAAACAATTTATTTTTTAACAACTGCTATGCCAGAAGCAAAATCAACCTGTCGCGGTGCCTGTGTGTGATGTGTGATGTGTGGTATGTGGTGTGCGAGTATGTGAGTGTGTTAGTGTGTTAGTGTGTGTGTATGTGTATGTGCTCGTGTATATGTTGTATTTGTTCTTGATTTTCAGCTAAAAAACATATGAGAATAAAAAAAAAGAATGTGAAGCGTCGCATCGTTTGGCGTCTGTCAGTCAGGTATGCAAAACATGAAGTGCAGATGCTTCAGATTGGTTTTCCAATTACTCAACATTTCAATGCAAATAACACAGAGCCACGGCGATGGTTAACGCCAACGATGAGGAATTTAAAAGTCAAACACACACCCACACACACACACACACACACACACACGAACAGGAACACGCACACACTGGGATCTATTCAAATACATATGCAAGCATATGCGTGTGTTAGACGGGGCAGCTGCGGCAGCAAAATCCAATTCACATATTTCTTCGATTTTTTTCCAAAGATAAAATTTCAATCACGTTTCTTCACTTTTGCTTAACATACGTATATTCATGTGTGCGTGTGTATCTCTGATGCTGCCAAAGGTGTAGTAGATGTGGCAGCAAACCAAAAAACAACAACAGCAATAACATCTGTGCGCCCCAGCCTAGGCAAAATCTGTATACCAAAGTTTTACGGGGAAAATCACAAATTGATGATTTGTGTCGTGCTTTTGAGTGAAAACGACATTAACCTAACCTTAACATGCAAGCATTTATCTATCTGTGATTTACAGGGTATTACATAAGGCAAGGAGAGCGTTGAACAAACTTTTCATACATATGTGCTGTCGGCTTCAGAAAATGCTTGTGTTTAATTAATGGCAAGTTCTGTGCGCTCATTTATGGGCCAGTTTAAACAATTTCAAAAAGTAAAATTGCTCTAGACGTCCTTGCCCGACTAGGATATACCCTGCTTCGAACTTTCTATACAAACATTCTAAGTCCTTTCTACAGCTGAGAAATGTGCAACGGTGCTTAAAGTTCGATCTTTATGCGTGTTTATAAAAAATCGGAAAGCTCTAGCCTTTAAAACGAAGTAAAATATCAGCAAACAAGGAGAATCTCGTTTTGAATATGGTTTGGAAGTAGCAGATATTTATATCAAGTCCCTAGCTTTTGGAGCTTCCATTTTGAAAAGCTTCTGAAATCACAAGATAGCACTCATCTATGACATGCTAAATTATAACTCAAGTTATTCAAGTAAAGAGTGAGATTGTAATTTTGAAGATGCTATAAAGGCCACGATAAAATGATTGATTCTTGAAATGGATGGTAGACAAAATAAGTTTGAGAACCTCTTTAAAAATATCTATAAAATGTAATATTATATTAGAAGTCCGATGCTGGCAGGAGCTTGGTTTGGTTAAGATCTCTTAAAAAGCATATGAGTTTTTCATCCAAGGACCTAATTTGATAACAAGTTTGTAAGCTGCCATCTATTCTTCTATGTTTACGATGTGGTTAGGGCCTTCTTTTTTAAGGATCTTGGGGATCTTTGGTGGCCGTATTTTGAAGCACTCTCTAGTTCATAGAACTGAGCCCACTGTAAAATCGTTTCTATATATGCATATATTTTGCTTGTGAATTAAACTGAAACTTTGCATTAAATGCGTTTATGGGCGAGTTAGAGAGAAAGTGAGAGGGAGTGGGAGCAGGAGAGGGGGAGGGAGTAGGTGGGCATGGCAAGTGGCTCTGCATGGCTTTGGCAATTAGAAAACAAAATATTTGCGGCGCAGATAGTCAACACCAATTTGTTTGGTAGCATGGCAACCAGAACGTGTGAGAGGGCGCTGGAGGGGGGGTTGTAGGTGATGTGTATGTGTGTGTGTGTATGTGTATAGAGTGATAGGGGGTTGGGCGGCGGGTAGCGGGGCTTGGGGGCATTTCTGTATACACTGGCAGAGCCTGTAACCCAAGGCTCTTACCTTTTATCATCTACATCATGGGCTGATTTACGTGGCGCATTTATTGCAAGGGCAGCCACTAAAAGTTTTTAAATTACAATTTACAGTTTCTGTTTTCGTGTGTGTGTGAGCGTGTGTGTTTGCAGGTGTGTGTGTATATACATGTGTGCATTTAGTTGCTGTGCTCATTGTTTTTAGCATTCAAGTGGCAGTTAAAATGGCTCCAGCCTCAATTGCTGCATCCGGCATCCCGTAAGCTGTGCCAAGTAAACCCCCCCCCCCCCCCCCCCCCCCCCGCCCCTTATTCTCCCCTCCCAGGCAGCCCCTGTGCTTCGTAACCCGTTGCCCCACTGGCAACATCCTTTGGACCCGCTCCCTTGGCTGTTGCATTAGGAAAGTTGACGTGACGCTGTGAGCGATTTATTGTTTTTGTGTAGAGAGCGTAAAATGGAACAAATTTTGCACAAACACACTCACACACACACATGGCATGCGTGTGCCTGCCACGCCCCCTTACGTATAGGTTTTGCCTGCTCTTGGGCGATGTGGTCCAAGCCCCAGCAAGACACAGCGCCACCAGCAGGAGACGTCACCGCCGCCTCGGTTTGAGTCAAGCAATCAGGCTCGCGGTCGCTTGCCGCCGATTGCAGCTGTTGCTGCCACGCCCTCAAACGCCCCCCTCTCCGGCCAGCTAACCCCACAACTAGGCAGTTAATTGTAATGCTGCAAAAATGCTGTCAAAGTTATGCGAGTGCGAAAATGTCCACGGGCGCATGCCATGCATGGCAGCCGGGCTGGGTACAACAGCCTCCGCCCGGGCCACTTGACGGAGCTGCCAACCCGTTGGAGTCCGCTGCTCGAGTTCCGTTTTTGCGACCATTTTCCGTAGTTCTGGCCAACATACGAGTGTTCGCAGCATGTTTCAAAATTTCTTTTTGCTTTTTTTTTTTTTAAACTCTTTCCTTTTTTTAAAGCTTCTATTAAAGCAATTGCAGTCGCAGCTATTGGCTGGCAATTGCATTAGGAGCTGATCAGGACAAAGGCTCTGCAGCAGGCCTGCTTTACCCTACTTAATGCATTTCTTATACCCTTCCTTTATTAAAAATGTATACAACAATCTAAAGAAAGCTTTTGCGAAGCCACAAAGTATATATATTCTAGATCTGTGACAAAAGTTGACCTTCTCTAACCATGTTCGCGTAGATCTGAGACCATAACAGCTGGTGACTTTTATGCATATCAGATGCAGAACAAGTTAAACTCTCCCCTTTCGATATTTAACTTCTTTTCACCTAAATCCCTTGATATCGATTTTCAGCTTTTGTGTTTTGAGTAAAGCTCAGACAGAGATACGATTTTAAGTCTGAATAATCGTTGCTGAGATTGTATGTTAAGACAAGTCACAGGATATTTCCGGGGTACAGGGTATAGGGTATTTCCTAGCTTAACTGGGTTTAAGGTAGATTTGCTAGGCAAAACTCTGGTAATGACTGTATTTTGTTGCCTGATAAAGGCTTGAAATTAACACTTGATGGCAAATAGTAGAAATGTTTTGGGTAAACAACTTGATGGTTTATGTAATTCGTGAAACATACATTTAATAGTGAAACATAAATTTAAACTTGAAAAACAGTGAACCTCTAACTGTTTGTCCAATGTAAACAATGGAGACGATCGTCCATATACGGTAACGCCCCCAGTTTAGCCCCCCAGGCTGCCGGAGACGCGTAGGAAGGCCTCAACGCGACCAAAACGTAACTTAACAATGCCATTAATTGCGTCACGATAGGTGATCAAAACCGGACCGCTAAAACGTTGACCATTCACACTGACAGTACCATTGCGACTCTCGTTGACCAGGAACAGGCCCTTCTCGCTCCGTGTCAATGTTGCGTGCAGCTTAGCCACAGTCTTTGGATCAGTGTGGAGCATCTATTTGGATATAAATACAATGGGATTTTCAGCTGCTGGCTTACCTTATCATCTAAACAAAAGTCCAGCTTATTATCTTGGACATTGTTGCCAATGCGTAGCACCTGATAGGTGCGCAATACAACAGTCGGACGACCCTTGAATGTGATGCTGGCCATGGCTCTCTAGTTCTCTCGTGCAGACAGTTTTCGTTCTGAATCAATTACTAAACAAACAAAACTGATTGTTATGGGCATGGAATTGCTTACGAATCTTAATCGAACCGACTGAAATGTGTCGTCTGTCAGAAAACTGTAAAAGCTACTGTGCCTAGATTTCGTACCTTTTGTCTCAAATTAAATATCGATTTGGCTGCTTTGTGTATGGTATTGTCAGACGACACAGCCAGACCACAGATATCGAACGCTCTCTACCTTTTCCATTTATAAGCTGACAATTTTCTAGAGTTGCGCCTGCAGCTAGCTGTCCAGCATAAATCGTAATGCTCCTGACTCTAAGCTCTTTATATTACTAGGCGCCACAGTCTGTGGTCGCATTCACATAGAGCTGGCCGCATTTCACAAAGCTCTTCAAGTTGCTCTTTTCTCTGTCTATAAATTATTTCCATTCTAAGGGTATTATGGATTACTCAAGAAGACATCCATCGACTCAGCAGAAATGCCCATGTCAGTCTCTCAGCTTTGAGTCGATCGTCATGAAACTTTGCACGAATCTGTCTTTTTGTAGCACATATGTTCGAGTTGGCCATAGGAACGATATATATTTCTCATGAAAAATTCACCTTTGGAAGCTTTAATATTTTGAAGTTCTGCCTCCGAGACAGCTCTATGCTGCGCTTTTGGTGTTTGCCAAGCTGCAGCACTGACCGTTTTGTCAAATTTAACAATTAAATAAATATTTAATGCATGCTTAATTTAGCATTAAAGCATTTGCCTGTCGCTTATTGTTGTAGTTCATAATAAAACACAAGTAATTTATCAATTCAATAAAACAAAAACCAGGAATAATTTGATAAATTATTTATGGCCAGTTGACATCATTATTTCGATTGGGTTTTGGGGTGTTTTTGCTAATAAATATTTAACTATAGATTTTGTAAAATACAATTTTCTTATTAGCAAAATGAAATGAAAAGCGTGTGCAGAATTCTCAGAAAATTAATATACGATATATTACACTCGTTCGTTTTATTAAATATTATATATAAATCAATAGAAGTTGAGGTTTCTAATTACTTTGTCGCCTCGAATTATAATTAGGGTGGAATTCGATTGAAAGAGATTATGAGCCTCCTCGTGGTCCATTCATTATCAAGGGTATTTAATCTTCGGCAACCTAAATAACCTCTTCTAACGTATTTATTGTATTCTATTGCAATACTGAGAACAAAGCATTTGTGTATTTTGGGAATAGCTTGGGTTAAGTGCTCGGATTACAAGAGATTTAATAGTTTTCCATATCAGAGGTAAATTGAAAGAAAACGAATTATTGCACATATATTGTTCTAAAATTTATTTCTACGTCTTACATTAGACACAGAGTATTTTTTTTTTTTAGCCATATGCTAACTCACAAACGTATTCTTACATGTGCACATGTGTATGTGTATGATAAAATCAGAGTCAAGTCGAGAGTTTTCAGTTTTCAATGCTGAAAGCAATATTCGCACGCTCATAATTTACAATACGAAAGTTTTTCTGCATAGGGGAAGGAAATTATTACTTACATCAAAGATTTGCATATATTGTCGTTGTGCGGGCTAGGGAAAAGCTGAGAGTGAGAGTGCTGGCTGCCTTAAACGTGAGTTTGGGCGTGGGCGTGGACGTGGTTGGGCTTTAGTTAGGCGTATGCGTTTTAAGGCAAATTTGTCGCTGCCCGACCAGTCGGGCCCCAAGTGCGAAAGAGAACTACTAAAGGTAGAAGAGGGTAGTGTTAAAAAGCGAATATAAATAATAAAAAAATAAGAACGAAAGAAAGACGGAAAATGCTGTTGTGCCACACACAGTGAAAACCAAAGTAAAGTAAAAGAATTCGAAGGGAAAACTTTGCCTTCAATGAAATGAAATAAAATTGCATTACAACGGGCACAAAACGGGGAGCGTGAATGCTTCAAGGGCGCTTGTTGCCGTTAGGTATTTGGCTGGGTGCCGGGTGTGGCAAGGTGCTGAAGAGCAAGAAGGGGGGGGGGGGGGGGGGGTCTGGTAGTCTATGCTGAGGGGAACTGTGCGACGTGTGGCATAAAAACTTTCGCCGTGCCCCTGTTACAGTGCGAAATGCGAAATGCTGGCTTAAGTCAATGAACGCCATAATCCACAATTGCACACACACGCGCACGTGTATATGTATATATATATATATATCAAGACGCATATAGAAGTATAAATTTGTTTAACCCGCACATGTGTCAAAGTTTTTTAACCCAATTTCCGCAATTAAGTTTATATCATTCAGCACCCACCTCAGCAGCGGAGCTGCCAACTTTATATATCAGTCAAACCAAATGCGAGATGCCAATGTGTGTGTTTGCTTGTGCGTCTCTGCGTGCTGTGTGTGTTTGTGTGTGTGTGTGTGTGTGTGTGTATGCCGTGTCGAAATCCGTGTCCATGTCCTGGGCGTCGACAACGACATGTAAACTTTAAACGACCTGCAGACGAGCAAAGCAAAAGGTTCGATGTGGCTGGCTGACGCCCACGATGCAAGAGAAAGTCATGTGTCAGCTGACATTTGACAGCACTGTATGCATGCATAAGACAAGTTGGCAGTACTATAGCATATACTATTTGCACTCTGAGGTGTGTTGGAAAACAATTCAAATGCCATAGACCTGCTTATGAGCCTAGTAAAGTTAAATGTGATTGACTGATTGACAGACTGACTGATCAATGCACAGCTTAATTTTTTAACTTTATTTAAATGCCAAAACTGTTTAAAGAATTTTAAACAAATTTGTGGAAAATTTGTGATTTTTGTTGATACTTATTTTATCTTGTTAAAGAATGCAATTCAATTTAAATATATTTTGTTTTAATACAAGCTCTTCATATGAAATTTATGTAATTCTGAGTTATCGATAGGCAGGCAAATTCACGCCTTCGCGCGGAATACGGGTGAAAAGCTAGTTACATATAAGATAATTCAATTGCAGCTTATAGCTTAAGAGCTCTGCTGGGCAATTGTTAGGAAAATTTGATTTTCGAAAAGTGAGCAGAAGCATTTGCTTATGCTTTTTTTTATGGAATTTCGGTCAGCGATGAAATCTTTAACTCGAGCAGAACGTGCTTGGATGCCATGTAGTATATGTATTGTGGCATTTATGAGAATTATGAGGGTAAAAAAAGAAGAAAGCCAGCCCAAATTTAATCTCAAATATTAAGAATGATAAAAATGTGAGTTTCAGGAAGTTGCCAACAAACTTCCATTATGAAATCAGTGCACAACGGGATGGAGTGGGGCTAATATTTGAAATCTTGAAGGCGCTGCTTGCAGTCAGGTCACAGACCCCATTCAAAGTACACACACACACACACACACACACGAACACATAGTGCAGTGAGTGTGTGAGTGGTGCAGCTTAAGGAAGGAAGCACTGCGATTGTCAAAAATTGTCCAAAGGATGTTCGGAAGGATGACGACGGAGACAACGTCTAAGAGACAGTGAGACAGAGAAGAAAGTAGTGGGAGAGACAGAAGGGGGGAAAGAGAGCAAAAGAGAGAGAGAGAGAGAGTGCACTGAGTTGCATTAAATCTATGCTTGTTTGTTTTTCATATGTATTTGCAAACAAGGACATACCAGGACGAACGTCACATATGCAGCCAACAGCTGTCATGGGTGTGTGTGTGTGTGTGTGTGCGGCGCGGCTTTACGTTAGTGGAAAAAATAATTCTAACAGCAACTCAAACAAACAAACAGGCACACAAGCAAACCAGCCAACAGCCAACATGAAAAGCGGCCCAAGTGCTACACGTGTAGTATAACAACAGTTAGACCAACAAGTTGCTAAACTAAAAGATACCCTGGAGTACAATCAAGCTAGCCAAATCTGCCTTATTTTATCATTTTTGGAATTACAGCATTCGATAGTTTTTAAAATTAGGTTATCCAGCAGTTATACGATAGTTTCAGAAACGATATATATATGCATTGTTTCATTATAAATCATATTAAACTAAGCTTAAGATTTTGTATATTGAGTGCAATACAATGAATTGAATGGTTCGCTTTAGTGAATCAAGGAAGTAAAAGAAAGTGTACAGAAATCTCGGATATCAAAAAAACGGATAACCTGAAGGGCTTGCATCGTATATATTTCCAAAAAGTCTTATAGATTTAATTGTGATTTATAGATTTCAATATGAAGCAATGATCAGATAATATTTAACCCATAGATGCCAGGTTTTTATAAAATGTCTATACATATAATAGAGCCCCATCAGCTACTGAAGTAGCATGCTGCTGTTTTAAACGATAGTTATTGAATATTTATCTGATATTCTAAGTTATACGATAATTATTTAAGACATATTTTTTCAACTTTAGTCAAGCTAAAGAATTTTTTTGGTATTGCATTATTTTATTTAATAGTTTTTAAAGTTTCTTTATTTATTGTTTAACGCAGTTCGCTTAGGGTGACTCCCTAAGTCACGATAATATTGTTATCGAACAATTTACCGTTATTTTGGGTGTTGGTAAAGGTGCAATTATGCATTTGGTCAATTGTAGTTAGGTTAAACTATAGTTACTAATATTGTTTTTGTTTTTTCACTTAAGATTTTAAAAAGTCAAGTTGCGATAGCATAAAAATAAAGTGTTATTGAACAATCGACCCGTATTTTCAGTGTTGGTAAAGGTTAGAATGAAAGAATTTCTCCGCCGCTAACTAGATTTATTGTTTATGGTTTCGTAAATACATAAACCTTTTTTTTAACAGCTTTAGGTCAAGAGCCTCGCCACTTTTAGGCTGGCCCAACTTGATAGACTTACAGGATATACAAAAAAAAAAAAAAAACAGGCATATTCAATTTCCAGCTACCCATCTCTCGCTTTTCTCTGCCGTCACACACACACGCACACAAAGCGAGTGGAGAGACAAAGGCGTGAGCTGGGCGCAGCATTTGATGTTTGTTCTGTGCAAACTTTGGCATGGAAAACTTGGGCCAAAAGACACCTGAGCTCGTGTTGCCACCGTTGCCACTCACTCCCAACACTATTTCGCCTAGTCGGGCGCAACGTTTGTGTTCAGCGCATTCTCTCAGAAGCTCATTCCTCTCGAT